TTATTACTAAAAATAGTTGGAATAAATGCATTTAAAAGAGAAATGCGGTGGATGGAGAGATAGATGAACAGATCGAGAGGGAGGAACTGATGGGAGTTGGTGGTAGCGTGTTTAAGACCAAGGAATATATCTAGCGTGTGTTTGAACATACTCTTCGTAGGCGCGTCAACAACCTCTTGCAGGAGTTTGTTCCAACCATTGACGGACTCGGGTGAGGGGCTGAAGCTTAAATAGCATTTTGCTGTGACCAAGAAGAGTACCTAAGCTACAGTGGGTAAAAAACTGGTTGGCCGAGTCCGTGGATAGCAAATGGTAGAGAAGAAAAAGGTCTGCTCGAATGCAGCGGGTGTTTAGGGGATAAAGGTTCAGCGTGGTGAAACGGATGGGATATGGAACGTGGAAGAGACCTGAGACTAGCTTTAAGGCTGCTCGCTTAACTGGTTCGAGGGAGTTACCATCACCCAAAAGCGCAGAGCACGCGATTTGGGCTCCGTATTCTAATAGCAGTCTTACATATATGCCATATAAGAGTTGAAAGTCTTCTTTATCAAAGCGAGGGAATGAGCGCTTGATAAAGTTCAGTATCCAAAAGCCTTTTTCCGGGCTTTTTGGTGGTGGCAAGAAAAAGATAGAGAGTTAGATAGCCAGAAGCCAAGGATCTTGGCTGACAGTCTGAAGTCGGGATGTGTTGCACACGTTGAAGGTGTGCGCGTAGCCCCTCCTAAAGGACATACTTACACATTTGTCCTCATTTATTGGTAGGCTCCAGTGTGATGACCATGCTTTGGTGATATCCATGGCTGCCTGCACTGCTAATGTGTTACTCCCCCGGATTGTGACATCTTCAGCATAGATAGTAACGTGGACAGGGATTTTATCCGGGAGGTCAATTAGGTATAAGATGAAAAGGAGTGGACCTAGAACGGATCCCTGGGGAACCCCTATTGTCATCGGGGAGGAGTTGGAGAAAGAGGTTCCTGCTCTGACAGAGGAGGAGCGAGAGGATAGAAAGCTTCCTAGAAGAATAAGAAGCCGACATCTGATACCATACATTTCCAATTTGTGCATTAGTGGAGAATGCGGTACTTGATCAAAGGCTTTGGCAAAATCTATGAAGATTGCATGTGAGATTTTACCATCATCATAGGCCTGGGTTAGACTTTAAATGACATATAGTATATTGGTGATGCATGATCCACCAGAAACGAAGCCGTGTTGAAAGGAAGAAAGAAGGTTGTTTTCCTTCAGGCGTTTAATAATGTCTCTTAATGAGACGTTCAAAAATTTTGCAGGGGACCCTAGTTAGACTTATCGGTCTGTAGCTGCTGGCATGACGCCGGGGTCTCCTTTTGTAGATCGGTGATATGATTATCTGTTTCCAGGCATCAGGGAATTCATCTAGGCAATTTTGAAACAGCCGCCCATAATGTGGGGCTAGCACGAGTGCTGTCTCTTTGAGTACTCTGGGATGGACCTCGTCTGGGCCCATTGAGCTATAAGGGTTTAATGACTTTAGAAGTTTGAGTACTTCTCCAGTCTGAAAAATGAAGAGTTCAAGACGGACTATATCTGACTTGGGCTGTAGAGCACGAAAGAAGGTAGGTGGAGCGGAG